GATAAGAATCTCCTATGGTGGCAGGTTTCCGCGGTTTGAGCAGTGGGGCCACTCTCCCCACCTTCCAGATGTCTGGGATGATGAGAGTGGCCATGGACAAACTGAGGACCTCCGTTAGGTACGCTACCCTCGCAGGACCCAAATTTTTCAACATAAGCATGCATATTCCGTCGGGACCCATGGCTTTGGAGGCTTTCGCCTTCCCGATGGCCACCTGAACTTCACCGCAAGTGAAAGCAGGGGGACACAAGTTGTTGGCAGTTTGTGCAGCCTTCTGGTCACTCGACGCTTGGCTTTGTCCACCGGAGGATGCGGTATGAACTGCCGGCTAAAATAGCTCGCGCATCGCTCCGGGTCCGACGAAGCATGGTCGCCGAAAGAAATTTCGACCCTGTCGTCATGCTTCGTCGGCTTGGACAGTGACCTCACGGTTGACCAAAGCTTACTCACACCAGAGGTGAAGTTGCAGGTCTTCAGATGCTCTTCCCACTTCTTCCGCTTATGTACGTTTACTAGTTGCCGAATCTCCGCGTTGAGATCCCTAATACGGGGATCTGCGGGATCGGCCTGACGAAGGCTATCGCGCTCATCGGCTAGAACAGCCGCTTCGGCAGGGAAGTTTGGACGTGGGTCCGTTATACATCCTGCCGGTATGAAGCGAGCTGCAGCAGCAGTGGCAGCCCTGCGGAACTTACGTTCACCGATATGGACGTCGGTTGGTGTGGGAAGCGCAGTGAAGGTGTTTTCAGTAAACTTCGCGTAACCTTTCCAATCAGCTTTGGAGAAGTTGCTATAGGTCCGGTGTTTAGCGGTGGCAAAGTGGGTTGGTTTATCTATCGAGATGACTTTGGGTAGGTGGTCTGATGCTAAAGTCAGCATGGGTAGCCATGTTATGCTGTTTATCAGACCAGCGCTGACTATGGTGATGTCTGGCGAGCTGCTGCAGTTACCCATAATCCTGGTGGGTGCGTCGTCGTTCATTGTGCAGAATGTCGAATCGTCTATCTGCTCAGCCAAGTCTGTTCCCCTACGACAGCAGGTGACAGGGGATATGTATATGTTAAATATTTCGAGCTCAACATCGCCTGACCGGATAGCAATGCCCTGACATTCTAGGGTGGTATCCCTGCGGTCAATGTCCGCTTCGATAAGACGATACTGCACGGTGTGGTGCGTGATGAATGCTATGCCACCACCATTATCTCGCTCGCGATCTCGACGGTGCACGTTGTACCCGGCACAATTCAACAAAGTTGAATTGCTGTGCAACTTCGTCTCTTGGACCGCAGCTATCAGTATACCATGCCGACACATGAAGGCGGTTATCTCCTCAATCTTGCTCTCCCGTTGCAGTTAAATTGAAGGAGCTTCATGTGGTTCGGGAGACGTGTCGTGATGTGGGGTGTAAGGGATGTGTGTGGCCTTGACGCCATTGGCTGTGTGCGCTGCTGTGATGGTTGCCGCCCTGTGGTGGTGGCGGGAGGCGTCGCAGTTGGGGTCTGCGACCGAGCAGCGCAACACGGGCCCTCGAAGTTCCTCGTCCAGTCTCGCGTGGTACGCAGACCTGAGCATGCCCTAAAGTGGCATCAGCCAAGGCAGGTGTTGCACTTGACTGATGTCACATTACGGAATATCCTGGTCTGACATACCGTGCAGATTGTAGGAGGAACCAGGAGTTGTTGGCGGAGACGTGTGGGTAGTGGTGCGGTTATGTGTGTTCTGTGGTCTGTCGTGGCTGTGGTATGGTCTGTGGTGTTATTATGTTGTTGTGCTGTGGTGACTGTGTGAGGCTGCTCAGGTGGACTGAGGTTAGCCGTGGAGACTGCTCTGTTTGAGCAGCAGGGGGCCACGTACGACGTGGTCCACTGCCGATGAGTCCGTAGTCCTGAGCAGAGTCTAAGGTGACTCCACCCCTCGCAGGCATTACACTTGACTGAGGTGGAGTTGTGGTGTAGTCGTCTCTGGCATACACAGCAGGTGTAGATTTTTGGCCCTGGGTTTGACTCGATGCCAGCCCTGAGTAGAAGAATACGTAGCGAATGTAGCCCTATGGACGAGCAACTTCTGAGATACTTCGCCGACCTAAACGGGGTTAGATCGCCGAAACAACAGCCCTTGGTCGGGTAAAACCCGAGTCATTCCGGTACGTAGAACCGGCTGTCGTGGGAATGTTAGAATCAGTTCAAAGGGGCGGGCTACGCCCCCTTCTTAATGTTTTTAATTTCATCTGCCACTATACTGCACATGTTCCTTAAATTTTATTGAGAGAATGTTTATCAACTTATTTTTAGATAAAAAATCCTAATAACGCAACATTTTTCACGAACCGAGCACTGTGCTACTTGAAGCTTAAACGGTGGCAATTGGCATGCCAGGATTGTCGTCGAGCTTTAGATATTGATTCAAATTTACTTAAGGCCCACTTCTTCTTGGGCCAGTGCTTAATCGGAATGGAATTATACGACGAAGCAATAAAACATTTACAAAGAGGTATGTATGTATGTACATATGTAAGTAATTTTTGGTACGGTTATTCTTTGCCCAATAGTTGTTGTAGCAGCTACTGAACCCCGCTCGGGTCGGCTCATCTATCAAAATTGTCGTCAGACTCAACTAGAAAGCCCAGGAAATGGGCAACTACCTTGGGGTCTGTCCATAGAGACAGGGACGTTGGGTGGATTGGGTTTTGGGAGTTGCGAAGAGATGTGGCGACTATATGCATGACGGGTACTCGTTACGCAGATCTGCGCTCACTTTCTCAGACTCTTTCTATTGTGGTGCGAGGCAAAGTTCTGTCACGTCCACCTCGGGTGGTAGTGTGCCCAAAACGGCATTCACAGGTCGGGAGTCTATGTAACTCGAGTCCGACTCCCTGTGAAATGCGTTTAAGGCTTAGGTATGCAGTTGGGTGCTGAGATGACGTGCCTTGGCGAGGGTTCTTCTGCAAGCGGTTGTCTGTTCTGGTGCCCGCGACTATGGCACCCTACTACGAACTGCTTGCAGAGCATTGTGTAATGCTCCTTCATGGGACCATATGGGCCTCGGCATGTAGGTGGTGTTGAGCCGACATCAATAGGCATCGAGCCGCGAGGATTTCGTAGGGAGAGGGTTAGGCGCTTTGCGGTGAAGATGCGAGAAAGTTATTTACCCAATTATTTCGGGTGACCCAATCCAACAAATTTTTACACACATTTGTAGTCAAGGGTATAAACTTCATTTTAGTAGTATGCTCACGTTGAGCCCTAAACTCAAGTTTAACGTTTTCTGTTTATGAACAGTGTTCTCATTGGGGTGTTTAAGAAACTCACGAGATTAATTTGTAACTTGTTTCTTTATTTTTTCTTTTATACATATGTAAATTGCTAATGAGTTCATACTTACAGTTGGATGAAATTAAAACTTCAATATAAATTATTTAAATTTAGCTATGCTTTTCTTCTTCTTATTTGGCGCTGTAACAGCCTAAGCGATTTTGGCCGAGTTTAACAAAGCACACCAGTTGTTTCTTTTATGTGACAACTGACGCCAGTTGAAAATGCCAAGTGAAGCCAAGTGAAGCCAAGTGAAGCCAAGTCCTTATCCACCTGGTATTTCAATCTCAGACTACTTTTAGAGCTGGAGCGTCGGTGTCCATTCGAACGACATGGCCAAGCCAGTGCAGCCGCTGTATTTTAATTCGCTGCACTATGTCCATGTCGTTGTAAATCTCATACAGCTCGTCGTTCCATCGTCTGCAGTACTCGACGTCGCCAACGCGTAAAGGCCCGTAAATCTTCCGCAAAATCTTTCTCTCGAAAGAGCCGCCTCATCGGATGTTGTCATTGTCCATGCTTCTGCGCCATATACCAGCACGGACATGACAGTGACTTATGGAATGTGGTTTTCGTACGTCGAGAGAGGACTTTACTCCTGAATTGCCTGCTCAGTCCCAAGTAGCAGATTCTGCGTAGGATTTCCTTGCTGACATTATTATCGGTGCTATTGCTGGTTCCCAAGTAAACGAAATTCTATACTATCTCTAAATTATAACTGTCAACAGTGACGTGGGTGCCAAGGAGAGAATGTGCTGATTGTTTGTTTGATGACAGAAGATACTTCGTCTTGTCCTCATTTACCACCAAACCCCTTTGTTTTGCTTCCTTATCCAACTTGGAAAAGGCAGAACAGACTTGCTGTTTTGTTACCGATGATTTCGATGTCATGGCATAAGCCAGCAATTGCACGCTCTTGTAGTAAATTGTTACTGAGCGGTTCAGTTCTGCAGCTCTTCTTATCTTCTCCAACATCAGATTAAAGAAGTCACATGAAAGAGAGTCGCCCTGTCTGAAACCCCGTTTGGAGGTGAACATGTCGGAGAGGTCTTTCCCAATCCTGCGGAGCTGGTGGTATTGCTCAACGCACACACACATCCGTATCAGTTTGGCGGGGATACCAAATTCAGACATAGCGGCGTAAAGACACCTTCTCTTCGTGCTGTCGAAAGCGGCTTTGAAATCGGCAAATAGATGGCGTGTGTCGATCCTTTTCTCGTGGGTCTTTTCCAAGATTTGGCGTATTGTGAATACCTGGTCTATGTTGGATTTTCCAGGCCTAAAGCCACACCGATAAGGCGCAAACAGTTCATTGACGGTGGGTTTCAGTCTTTCACACAATACGCTCGATACGACCTTGTAACCTATGCTTAGAAGGCTGATCTCGCGGTAGTTGGTGCGAATGGCGGGGTCACCTTTCTTGTAGATTAAGCAGAGCACACTTAAATTCCAGTCGTCGGACATATTCTGCATAAGAGTTGATGCATGCACCTTATCAACTCCTCGCCACCGTATTTGCATTGCTCAGCTGGCAGGCTGTCAGCTCCAGCAGCTTTGTTGTTTATCAGCCGCGTTATTGCTATCCGTACCTCGTCATAGTCAGGCGGAGGAACATCGACTCCGTCATCATCGACTGGTTCTTCTTCTCCACAACTTTCCGTGCTGCTACCATTCAGTAGGGTGGAAAAGTGTTCCCTCCATAATTTAAGTACGTTCTGAACACCGGTAACTAGGTCGCCATTGTTGTTCTTACCGGAGTACGCCCTCGGACCTATAACACAAGCGCTACAAGTCCTACAAGTTTTCAAATAAATTAAACAAGTGTAGATATTTTGTAACACAAAGCAACTTGTAGTTACAAGTGCCGTACTTGTAATTACTGAACTTTTTGTACAATTGTAGTCTATTTCCGTAACATAACGAACACGCTTGTACAGTTGTGTTACGGATTTTCTACAATTGTAAACAATTTTCTACCTATCTCGAACGCTGAGTCGATATGTGGTGAAGTGATTCCGAAAGTAAAAATGAAAATGTTTCTACAGAGTATCGGTATCGAGAGAGAATGAATACTTTCTTCCTGAGAGACGCAGAATTTGTGGAAAGGTTCAGACTGAACCGAGAACA